GGGCGATGGCAAGCTCTAATTCAAGGCGGGCTATCTTAGCCTCCGCCTCGGCTAGTCGACGGGCGCAATCGGTATGCGCGAGTGGTTCTCTCGGTGAAGCCGTCGAGTGCTGTTCTTCTCCTGTGACGTCTATTAGTACGAAAGGAGGCTCCAACTGTATTAAATCCTCCTGTGCGGTTACGGCGGACTGCTGTAATGACGTCACGCCTTCTGGTGGTGGCGTCATGGGTGGCGTAGCTGGCTGCGATGTTTTCGCCTTGCCTTTTTTTGAACGTGTCACAGGCATCTTCTATAGTGCTGTAGTATGCCACTTCACGAAGGCCGCTTCGGTGTTCTCGAAGGTTCTGTGTCTTCGGGAAAGTTCGACAACGATCCGGCTCGAAGGACCAGAAAAATTGTGCAGGACTGTTTATTATCCGGCTAAAAACTGTACGGAACTGTCGGAGGCCAGATAACTGATGACTGGAGTGAATGAGCGGAGTGGGCTGTACGGATGCGGTGAACGGAGAGCGGTGGACTGTAGACTGTAGAAGCTCCGCTGACGGTGTCTCCAATCGCTGCACTACTATACTATAATCGGTGGTGGATCGTTGCCACGTCTTCGTACTTCGTGGCTTCTATGCTGTATGCGATGTGACGTTCTATACAGTGAACACGGTGCGGTCGATGTCACACGCTGTAGGAGTCCGGTCAATACGGTATCCGAAGTCGCGATGCTATACGGTGTCCGAGGTCTATGCTGTAGTCGTTGTTCTATTCACTATCTTCACTATGCGCTCTTGAGACTCTTGAGTAGACTTCGCTGTACTATCGGAGACTATTCTCTTCGCTTGACTATGAGAGACTATGCTTGGTTCGGCCCGGCAACCTGTTTTTATATTACTAAATCCCGCCTATTTTCTGGAACAATTCGCGGTCCGCCCGTATTCGGGAATACGCAAGTACTTACTCGAACTCGCGGGAATCGTAAACAAACTATAAGGCGTCCGGATATGAGCCTTATTGCGTATGCGCTAAGGGCGGTTATCGCGGGCGCGCGTGCTATCGCTATCCTTTGCGCGCTCGCGCTGTCTCTGTCTTTTTTGGTACTTGCCGAGCGCCGATGATTTATTACATACCTATAGGTACGTATAGGTATTTGCTGCGGTTTCCTTTTATCTTTTTAGGGTTCCGCTCGGCCGATTTGTTAAGTCGTCCTGCACAATTTTTGAACATTATCTATTTCTTTAGAGTTATGTATCAGAGACAGATATGTATCACGATATTCCAACCACTGGTCGTATGAACCATCAAACGAGGGTAGTGAAATCGTGGGTAGTTTAATTGCACAGGAACCTTTAGAAAATGATTTATTGTTTTGTGTTTCCACTGAATTTTCGTTAATTATGCATTTAGACTTAGCTACACAAGCATAAAACTGATTCTCGAAGGTTTCTCTCTCTTTTAATTCTTTTTCAATTTGAATTTCAGGTACGTTAACGTCTATTTCATCTTGTATTTCTGAAAAACTAGATAGAAACGATTCCGCCCTTTCTAAGCGCGTTTGTAATTCTGTTCGAATTGCCTCAGTAATTGTGATATTTTCTAAGGAATCGACAAATTTTAAAAATAACGTTAGTTTACCGCGAATAACGCCTCTTTTTCTAGTCAAATCTCTTACTAAATTATCATCTAAACTTTCAAAATGAGTGAGAGAATGCTTCTTTTTAGTCATTTTGGCGTTTGTGGAACACAAGAGAACAAGATAACACTGATTTTATGTGAATAAATTGCACGGCAATACTTACGTGACCTTGACCGTTTCAACGTCACTTTCACCGGTTTAATAACTTGTAATACGCACTGATATTACCACTATTAGCACAAAACACTGCGGATTATGAATAATGATAGGAAAATGAAAGGATGATTGACCTGACCGTGTATTCAATGCTGCCTTCTCTGCTGGTTTCGCGTGTCCGATTTATGCAGTTGATCACGACGATTCCTTGCTTTGCATCCGGCTCGAAGGACCATGTAGATGGATGTGATGTATTTGTGATTGAAACTCGCTTTCTTCGATACTCAGCGTTTATAACATGAAATAACGTATACAAATATTTGATGTTCGCGGTTAGAGGAATGGTAGTCAAGTGGGGTAGGCGCCGGGCGCGATCGCAACCGTTTTCTGTTAGTTTCGTGCGTAGTGATGTGCGCGTTCGCTAGTGATGTCGTAATCGATTTCTGAACATAATGTGACATGTAATAAACGTTTTTGAATTTGAATTTGAACATGTCACGAGCGTATCCTGGCTAAAATTCCTAATAAGCACTGTGCGAGGAGCGCCCTCCCAGTGCTGGATTTTTCACCCTGTGCTAGTACCGGTGATATCTAAAAATTAATCCGACCTTGGTTCTGTAGCCGGTCATTTCAAGCAAAATCAAAACGTATCTTTATTTGCTTAGACTGATTAAATTAGTTCTTACAAATCATCAAATACTGATTTAAAGTAAGTAACCTTTACCTACACATCTCATTATCTTTAAAGCAAATACATAAGCCTCAAAATAACTCCCTTCGATTTAGAACAAAAAGCCAAGGATTCCAAATCGATTATTATTATAGTATACGATTTTTTCAAGTTATTTATAATTTTCAAAATATACAATCTGATTGGCTAAAGATTTACTATGTACTATGATTTAGATTGTACTATGTTTTACGCAAATATACAGGATAACTTGGAATTAGAGCATAATCTTGTAAAGAGTTTTGCTCTAATCTAATCCCAAGTCCCCCTGTATAGATATTATAAAGATGTCATGTATTCTGAAACGAATTTATAAATATGATTTCAACTATTTTTTTCAAAATTACCATACAACCTATGCCATCCAGCTGACGAATATAGTATGTAAATGAATTATTAAAATAGGTTTACGTTCAGCAGTGGAGATTGAAAAAAAGATGAAGGTGAAATCCTTCAATCCAATATACATACGGTGGATCCGACTTGATTTTTACCGTTCATGACAAAAGCCACTGATTTCGGTGAAAAGGTTAAACTTAACCCGTCTATGTCATACATAATTTTGATGTATGGCTGACTTAGCTAAGCGCTATATTAACTTGTATGAGCGGTGTGCTAAATTATCTATGTTAATAGTAACCGTTGAATTCTAATGACGGAAATTAATTACATCGTGATATGACTTGATGGAGCTGTGACGTAATTGAATGTGATTAAGTGCTTTTAAGATATGGTTTAGTGATTTTGGTGGGATAAGGCTGGAGACATATCATACGAAATGAGGATTTTGGTGAACAGTTTTTAAAATAGTGTCTCTACATACTTCCACGTAGGAATTTTTAGCTTGGGTTGCTATTTTTTAACCATTTAATTTTGTACAAGACGTAACCGAAATAAAATAGAAAAGTTTGTATTTTAGTCTATGAAATAATATCATTAAAAATATTAAACGCCAACTTACATTTAATTTTATATTTTCCATAGATATTTTTATTCGGGGAAGTTTCTTGATGAATAATTTCTATTCAAAAGCTTTCAATATAACTATCATAGTAAAAAAGTTGTCTGACGATTGGAAAATCAGTTTAATCAAATAAAAATATAAAACAAAAGTAACAGAACTCAATACTCAATTCTTTAATTTTAAACTCCGCTAATTTTTTCTCTTTATTTTTACCCCAATACCGTTTTTAGTATAACCACGAGCATGTCATAAGTGACAAAACAATGACTAGGGATATTAAGTGAATTGTCTAGTTAAGAGCAAAAGTGAAGATTACGGAGCGGGTGGGGTATTCCATGATTGATGGACGGACGCACGATCGATCATGGCGGTAAACAAGACGTCTATGAATGGCGTTACTAATATCCCGGGTGAAGTTGTCTGTGAGTACCCACCCTTGTTATGTTAAGACAAGCTTTTGGCCGCGGCTTCGTCCGCGTTAATGAATGTATTTTTCCATAATTTACATCCATATTCTATAATCTATGTTCATCAGGGATTAATGCGGAATTCTAATGATAAAAGGTTTTTTCAAATCGGTCCAGTATAACAAAAAATACCTTTAAACGTTTTCTTGACAAATATTAATTAATTTATACAACCTACAAACCTTTAATCATCAAATAAATGGCAATATTAGGTAACTATTATTTTTTCTTAAATAACAAACATTAATTCATGAGTACTCTTATCTATAAAAAGAGTTAAGAGGGCTATAATTAATAAATAATTAATAAATAAATTAAAAATTAATAATAATAAATAATGATTCTAAGGGCATACTTTTAAGTTAAAATATGCTCTACAAACTCTACATATTACAAAAACTTCATCTATTGTAATTTTCGTGCTATTCACAAAATTCGATGGTAGTTGCACATCAGCATCCGATTACATAATTACAAGAGCTTTAATGACTTTGGTTCTTAGATTAAAACAAAGAGCCTTCTTTAGCCTTTGTCTATTACCCGCGAAAGCCTCAATAAAATGCTTCAATTCCGTCGCTCCCCTGACAAGACAGTACCTGTTTAGGGAAATATTCCATTTCCGGAAGTTTCGTTCGCGAGGAAGTTTAAAGGTGTGCACACATTGTTTCTTTAGAGCTACTGTCCACTTAACGTGGACGCGTATGCGTCATTTTACGGTTCGTGATCGTGTTTTTTTAGTACTCTTCTGTACTACATATTCAGAAAATATGTGTAAAAAATAAAATACCTAAAACCCTTGATTTAATGGGTAATGTGATGTCACCTAAATACGATATGAAAATGCTGAAATTAAATATAATGTGAATATTATCACTTCATTGATGACGTAAAACGTAAATAAAACTGTTAATCAAAATCTAATTAAAATACTGATAACAAAATTACATGCAAAATTCAATAACAGTCTTATTAAAACGATACTCAACGAATATGATCGTCAAATTATGTGCAGTACTATTTTTTGTAGATTTAATATATTGCAGGGATTTTTATATGGGGATGTTCAAGAGAAATGACCATTTGGTGTCTCAAGAAAGGTTATACAAGGAAAGGGTTCCATTCAGACGTATGCACGCAAAATATTTGAAAGTGGTGCATTGTCCAGTGAGTATTCAGAAACTTGATATACATAATTATTTGGATTGGAAGAGACGTCAGATATCAAATGATCATCAACTTCATCATCTGATCATTTCAGTTTTCACAACAGGAACACATCGATCTAAAATTTACCAAAAACTAACAGAGGATTTAGACTACTTACACACAATACATCACGCTGGTTTTGACCAGAACAAAATTAAATCCTCCTAGTTTAGGGACCTGCCTGATGTTCGATTATGAATTGAAGTGATCCAATTCTGAAAGTGGGACGTCCACCCACAAGGTGGACCGACGACATCATAAAGGTAGCTGGACGCAGGCCGGACTGGGGAACATGGAAATCATTGGGGGAGGCCTATGTTCAGCAGTGGACGTCCTATGGCTGAGATGATGAATTCTGAAAAGTTCTTTTCTCATTTCAGATAACTTATCTTCGAGTCATCGATCGTCTCGGAGTCGGGGCTGGACCTACCGTTAAAATATTACGAGGAGGACTTTTAAGAAACCACGTATATTTGTACATAATATCTCAAAAAAATCAACCTATTTCAGTCACAATTTATATAGGCTGCGAGAATAAAGCCACGACAACTACTACTGTTAAAGTTACAAAAGAAGAGGCAGTAACAGATAGTCATGATTCTGTAACAGATAATAATGATAGCCAGACAAATTCTAGCACTGATTCTTCAGATCAAAGTTCTGCTAGTGACCTTAGTACTTCAAGCGGACTTGTACAGTCGACCTAAGCAATGCCTACTCAATAACTTAATTCGCATTAAGCTCTTATACATTTTCGAATAAACATAAACATTATTTTGATAATTATGTTGATCGTAAAATTTTGAAGCTTCTTGAGAAATAAATGAATATTTGAGACTTAATCACAGCTTTGAAAACCTAAACTACCTCTGCGTTTTTTTTATTTCGTCATGTTATTATAAACTGCGTAATTTAGGCTATCTTTGTATTGCAAGACTTCAAATATATACATTTTCTGCCAACAAGAAGATTTTCTATCCTTGTTTAATAAGTAAGACAATAGGAACTAATTAATTTATTTCAACTGTGCTATTTTAAGACGGTGCAATAAGTAATTTAGTTTGAAAGGTAAAAGAAATCAAACAAGGAAATAAATCACGCTTATTCACTATTGTAAAGTTTTCTCACAATCTATTCAACTATCATTCTTATCTATGATACAATGAAATAAAAATCATAACAATATGACCCATATATACAGCATTTATTTAATGAATGGTGATATTCACCACAATAGACTTGACTAGTCAAGACGGCAGAAATGAATTATTTGTATCTACTACTACTTTTGCTCTATAAAGAAGTTCATTCTCAAAATCAATTAAGTGACTTTAAAGACAAGATTTTCGCAAATGTGGAGTTCGATGACCATTCTTACAGCCATTTTTTATCGACTGATGATAAAAGGAAGATTTTAGGATTCTTGAAGTCCTTCACCTTCGCTGAAAAGGCTCAGTCAAGAAAACCGAAGCTCATAGAAGATCCAGCTGGATATTGTAGATCGTTTCGTACATGCTCTGAATGCTCTAGAAGCATGTGGTACCCTTGCGGCTGGTGCCACAACTTTGGATGCACTGACAAACCGGAGAAACTCTGCCCGCACGCGATGACAAAAATTGACCTCATGGATTCAAACACAACAGATAAAATAAATTCGCTTTGTCCTTACATTGAGCATGTCGGTTCCATTCTAGTACCAGCAGGAGTAAGACAGAACGTACAAGTGAAACTGCATGCGTCAGACCCAGTTTTATATGAGAAGGAAATCATATGCCAACTCCAATTCAGTGATAGAGTGACACATTTGAAAGCTTTAATAATGAACGATGTGGTGTATTGTTACCCTGTGACGTTGGACACTATAGAACATGGAGAAACGAATATCGGCATCATGAGGTTGATATGGGGAGGCGTCCAGCCGTTCTCTAATAAGCTCCAGATATCCGTTTACCGATGTGAGTCATTGGCAGTGGACTGTGAAAGTTGCAGGCTGATCCCCACAGAGTATGGGTGCGGTTGGTGCGGCGAAGAGAATGCGTGTGTCGTCGCAGACAAGTGCTCGGACCTTTTAAAATGGAACGTAAATAGGTTAACTTGCAAATCTCTTGGCAAAAAAATGTTGTACGTTTGATATTGGTCACAGTGATGTACTAACAGGATGATGAACAAACATCAAGAGTCATCGATCGATTCTTTTAGGTGGATTAGCTCACGTTTATTGTATTCAAACTGGCTATTATTTGAATAGCAATGTTTATAAACACTCTGACGATGAAATATTATATATAGGTCGACAGTAGCTTCAGTTCTCAGCCGACATTGGTGGCTGAAACTGTGCGAGTGTAATAAATAAGAAAGTTCTGTAAGACAAAACATACGGTGAGTGAAGCGAAGTATGAGCCTAATATAGGTTAAAAAACATCACAAGTGTTAAAAAAACCTTTTGATTTCAGAACGATATACTCTAAAATGTTAAGAAAATATGTATGTCACATAACACAATTTATTTTGTATGAAATAATTTGTGTGGTATTTGTCCAGTCCATACCTAACCAAGAGCTGGCAAATCAGAAAATTGCTGAACGACAGTCGCTGCTTAGTTACTGCAGGTCGTTCAAGAGCTGTCACGACTGTAAAAAGACAACGTTTCAGTGCGAATGGTGCAATGACATTGGGTGTACGAGTTTCCCGCGCCTGCATTGTCCAAAGAAAGTGTTTCTAGATGATCTGTGGAAAAAGAATCGCGACGAGCGTTTTTGCACTGAAATTATTAGTAAACAGCCAATCTTTGTGCCAGCTAACGTAAGGAGGTTTATTAAGCTAGATCTGCGAGTCGACGACCTCACTCTATATGAGAGGAACGTCATCTGTGAAATACAACTGGAGCAGAAGATTATTCAAATACCGGCGTCCTTCGACGACAGAACTGCTTACTGTGATACGGCAATTCTGAAGACGAACAGAAACATAGTGTTGGGTTACTTGAGGTTGAACTGGGGCGGTATAGAGCCGTACTCGAATACGATGTTAATGCTGATATACAGCTGTCAGAATTTGGCGCAGAATTGCAAGGATTGTCTTGGGTTGAGCAAGGAGTACAATTGCGGGTGGTGTAAGGAGTCGGCCAGCTGTACTTTGGTGGAGGAATGCCCGAGGCAGTACGAAGCGTGGTTGAACAAAAGTTACACGTGCGGGCATTTCAATGTTCGCAATTACCGCACAGATCTAAAAACTTTTTTCCACTAATACAGTTTGATGATGTAACATGAATAGTTGAATACTATAAACGTAGGTAAGCCGTAAGTTTCAAAAGTTTCGAGTCAGTATGTTTTTGTTTATTTATTTATTAAAGGTAAGGTTACAAAATGGATGTGGTTTCATTTCATTAGTGTGAAAAGAAAATAATAATGCTAACACATTAATAATTTCTTCCTATTGGCTATTTATTTCTTTACTAGCGGCCGCCCGCAACTTCGTACGCGGTTTCGATTTTTTCATACAAATGTTTTATCCCGCTAACTCCCGTTCCCGTGGGAATTTTGCAATATCCTGTTGTAACTAAGCTTTAAATTTACTAAGGTACCTGCATGCCAAATTTCAAGCGTCTAACTTAAGCGGTTTAGATTTTTCATACAAAAGGATTTTCCCGATAATTCCCGTTCCCGTGGGAATTTTGGGAATTCCTTTCTTAGTGCACCTCTACGGTACCTAAGCTACGTCACTTCCAAATTTCAAGTGCCTATGTTTAGCCGTTTAGGCTGTGCGTTGATCTGTCAGTCAGTCAGTCAGTTTCTCCTTTTATATATTTAGATTTAGATACACTGAAGTGTAATAAATCAAGCCTCAAATATCACTCCAATAGTATTTTAACCACACATTTCAATAGCAATTAATTATTTGATAATTTACAGGTCACTTTTTAATTGAGTGCATTAATTTATTACATTTGCAAACTACATAACTCTACATGTAGTAAGGTATTTAGTGAAATAGTTAACTACTTATGTGAATAAAAGTAAACGTATATAATAACCATAATTCACTTCGCGACTTGTTTCGACTCCTACACATTTCCTCCATTGAATGATTTATTTCGTTGAAAACTTAACCTGTATAGGCGACATTCGTCTTGAGAGCAGAAGTTTACTTCAGAAAATTGTAATGCGTTCAGTTAATTGCTGTTTCTAATTAACGAAGTAATAGAAAAGTCTTCGACTAATCCAATAAAACTAATCCAGTGACTGGCCACGTGGGTCCCCACGTGGCCAGTCACTGGATTAATTTTATTTTCTCTTCCAGCAACTGGACCCATCATTTTGTGCAGAAATAAAAATAATTTATAAAAACCACATTAATTTTAAACAAACCAGTTATCAGATAACAAAAAAAATTAAAATAAATATTTTATATACATCTCTAAATGCATTTAATGTAAGTAGCTTTTATACCAAAACAAGTATTAGGTACTTACTTAAGCTTTTTTTAGAATAGAACCAGGTTATAAGCATTTTTAGATGCAAAAATCAAATTAAAAAAACTTTTTTTATAAAGAATCGAACCTGGGACTTGTTGTTAATTGACTAAAAACATTCTTGTAGCCTTCGTAACCTGAAATTATTAACACTTAGTAATATTACATCCAAGCTAACATTACAGCGAGCCAGATGGCCAAATCGCTTATGTTCTAACGACCCTCTATGATGAAAAGAATAAAATATATTTCATATGAAATCGTTTCTTTGGAATCAGATGTTGAATACGTGATGAAATTGATGTAGGCTATGCCTAAGATTGAGCGTTTGTTTCCAAAAATACAAAAATAATGAATAGCTTAATCAGGCATGTTTTTTTAGGTCTGAGCCGGTAATAACTATAAAATAAAACTATTATAACTATGCCAATTAGATTAAAATATGCAAAGTCTCCTGAATAAACCTAAAATTAACCACATTATTTTTGACTTGTGTACTCTTCCTGGGAATCAAATAGAGAACCTATGATTGACACCCAGATCTAACCATCAGTGGAAAATTTATTAATTGATAATATCGTCACCATGTCATGGCGACTCATAAAATTAAATAACACCTGTATTCTCAAACATTACTATGAGGTCTCACAGTGCGCGTGGACGCACAGGGTGACATATGAACCAATCACAGAGCTCTATTCAACGCTATGCGTTCCATTTGCTGGCGCTGCTTCACTTAAGCAGGCATCGTTTGTGAATAAGGGGGTTAATATCTGGCAAGAGGACCTATGAAACCTCACGATTAAAAGATATTTTTTACACCACATTGTCCTTAACGAGATTAGAACCTGCAACCGCAGCTATTGCAATTTTGTACGCCAACCATTGATTAGGTAAGGCAGTTTCTTGAGCAATCTAGTAAACAGGTGCAAAGTTTGAGCCTTTTTGAGGCCCGAATTCGAATCTAGTAAATTAGGCCAGCCGGGGAACAGATGCTGCGAATTCAAATACCTTTATCGGGTTACATTACATCCGAAACAAGAAAAAGGTACAAGAACTAGGAAACACTTTTTTGTACCTATTTTTTTCTTTTACGTTTTTACTTCGAAAATACATTATTTAATTTCTGACCTTACTTTTACTCTGCTTGTACAATAGGCTCTGCAACTCGCTGAAGAAAATTAAGAAGTAGGCCTGAAATGTGTGAAAACTGAAAAACAGTAACTGTTATGGTAA